CTCTCTCTCTCTCTCTCTCTCTCTCTCTCTCTCAGGGCATGTACGAAACAGGTATCACTTGCTGCTGCTGTTGCAGACCGGTCCCTGACCTGAACTTATGAACCCAAAAAAAAAAAAAAAATTCTTTTTTTGGCGGGGTGCCTACCAGTCGCCGACTGATTGGCGTCGACGGCCCCTACAGTCGGCTGGTCGGCAGCCGACGGGTCGTGGGCCGCCGACCGTTGGCGTGACTACACTGATAATAATAATAGATACATCACAATGACTGAAAGGAGTGAGCCTCAATCAATAATAATAAGTGGTACCCCCTCGTGAGTAAGCTTTGTCGTCCGGGACTCCACATCCGGTACACGCGGGTCCTCGTCATTAAGAACCAGGGTTGATATCGACTCTGGGACCACATAGCTGATGTCAAAAGACGCTGCAAGATCGATCTTGCTGATATATGCCATGCATCTAGCCATCTCCTCGTCTGCAACGCTCCTGAGGTAGAGCTCCTCTGCAAGCGTAATATCGCTTGTAGCTCCAATGAGTATCTCGATCCGTCCCCTCCTGTCGATGTAGACATATGAAACCTTGAGGAACAGTCTCCATAAAGGGGCTTTCGATAAGCCTGCATAGCAAAGTCAACTCCGACCAAATGATTGCAGTCATTTCCAAAATATGTGACTGCCCCTTCCCTTCTTGGGGGTCCGACAACTGCCTCGGTCCTAGGCTCGTCTGACATATAGGATTTAGTCTTCCTCGAGTAGATACCGTGCAAGAAGATATGCAATCCGTCTCAATGTCGCTCTCCGCCGTTGCTGATTACCGGTCTCCAACGCTCAGGTTATCCCCAACAGGCTCAGTCTCTGTGAGTGTCCCAATCGAAGTAGTCACCAAGATTGATGTCACTCACGCTACAAGGGTCAAGGTCAGACTCATCAGTCTCCAATTTCTGCATGCAAGTCGTGATCGGGATCCCGGATCTGGCTATCTCGTTCCTGATCTGGTCGTCCTTCTGCCTCTTCCCCTTGTTGCGTTATTCACTGAGAGGCTCAAAATTGCACCCATCGAAATCGAAAAGTACACAACCAGGCACTGAAGATACGCGAGGGAACACCACATGCAGCCAATTATCCCTCCAATAGCTCTCCCTGCGAAATATGTAATGTGCAATCCTGTCGAAGTGGTGCCCTTCACTCCATCGCCCTGCCCTCTTTACCAAGAGGTAATCACCAGCGTGTGTCTCGAAGTTGGGGACTCATTGCCCCTGATGACGAAGCTTTGATGTCCAACATGTCGATAGCAGAACTTCTCAACAAGTTTGCCCCACTTCGGGGCTGTCTCACGATGGCGGACCAGCTTGGACAATGGCTCCCACCAATGCTTGGGCTCTCCTGAATGGGCTTTGCTGGATAAGGTAGCAACAAAATAATGTCGGGGCCTGCCTGAGTGGACTCGGCTGGACAACAACCAGCAACTGAGTGTAGGGGCCCATCTGAATGGGCCCGTCTGAACAGCAATCAGCAACTCGATGTGGGGGCCTGCCTGAATCTGCAATCAGCAACTCGGTATAGGCGCCCACCTGAATGGGCCCGCCTGGACAGTAATCAGCAACTCAATGTGGAGGCCCGATTGAATGGGCCCGGCTGAATCAGCAATCAGCAACTCAATATAGGGGCCCGCCTGAATGGGGTCGCCTGAATCAGCAATCAACAACTCAATGTGGGAATATCATAAAAGTCTCTCCACAGCAAGTGGATCCAGGATATGAAGACTGGAACCGCCAGTATCATCACGGCGGAGGACTGATCAGCAAAGCATCGCATACACAGGGACCAGTCATAAAACATCGCATGTATTGGGTCTGGATTGCGCAAAATTGTCTGCGCAGGGACCGATCCGCAAGTATCATCTGTGCAGAACTAAACAGCAGTTACCATCTGCGCAGGGACTGAACTGGAGGCGCTGTCCGTGCAGGAAAATACTGTCTGCACAGGGACTGAACTCAAATACCGTCTGCGCAGTGACTAATCAACAAGGAATTAAATCAGCGGGCGTGGGATGCCAAATCATTCCATTAGCGGCTCTCAAGTGTCCATCCAATAAAGCACTCTGCTCGAACTTGATCATACCAGCAGGGCGCTCGCTCTAGGGTCATCATCTCAACAGGGCGTGCACTCTTGAGTCAGGACGCACATTAAATCAACAATGCCGAGCATGGGCGCGCACCATACCATCAATGCCGAGCCTGGGCGCGCATTAAATCTGCTATACAAAACACGGGCGCACACTAAAACATCGAGTTCAGGCTTAGGAATGCACTCAAACAGCTAGTTCGAGCCTGGGCACGCACTAAATCATCAAGTTCGGGTCTGGGCGCACGCTAAATCATCAAGTTTGGGCCTAGGCGCACACTAAATCATCAAGTTCAGGCCTGGCTGCACACTAAGTCATCAAACTCAAGCTTCGG